GGAAACCATTTTGGTCTTCATGAATGTATAAATTTAAAACTTGTTTTACTCTATTCGCAATAATTGAGGTAAATAATTTATAATCGGCGTTTAAAAGTGAGATTGGTCTATAATTGTTGATATATCTGGCATCCACATCCTCCTTCGGAATTAACGCAATCAACGCCTCCCTCCATGAGTCTGGCATTTTGGCAGCCGAAAGTACTTCGTTAAACACTTCCAGCATCAGAGGCCCTACTAAATCTATTGTGGCTTTATACAATTCTACTGGAATCCCATCTGGACCAGGGGATTTATTATTACATTGATTTTCCATTGGAGATTTTAACTCAGACCATGTAATATCCTTATTTAGTAATTCTTTGTCTCCTTCCCCTATTGTTTTATCATTCGTATTCTCCAGATAAGTTCTTATTTTATCCTCATTGATTTCTTCTTTTTTATATAATCTTTGGAAATAGTTTAATATAATATCCTTTTTCTTCTCAATCTCATGTTGTGGGATGCCTTTCTCGTCTATTAATTGGTGTATCAATCTCTTTTCTTTTTCTTTTTTAAGTTTATAAGATAGCCATCTTCCTGGTTTATTGGCGTGTTCAAAATAATTTTGTTTGGACCTTCTCAAGCTAACTTCTATTTTATCTTGTTCAATTAAATTCAGCTTATGTTTGGCTAGTATTAACTGATTTTGTAGTCCTTGGATCTTAGGGGTTTTTTGTAATTGTGTTTCTAAGTCTTGGATTTGTTGTTGTAACGCGTTTTGTTGGGCATAAATTCTCTTGTTTCTCATAGCATTATAGGAAATTGTTGTGCCTCTTATAAATGCTTTCATAGTATCCCAAATGTTCTGTTTTGAAGTTGTTTCATTATTATTATCTTTTAGAAAATAGTTTAGCTCCTCTTTCAGTTTATTAATATACTCTTCTTCGTTTACAATTTGGTTATTTAGTGTCCATCTTTTTTTTATTCGTCTCCTATCCCTCCAAATTAGCTGTATTGGGTTATGTTCAGCCCATTCATTCGGTAGAATTTTGATTTCTTTTATTTCATTAGCCAAGTCCAAGTCCATCCAAGCCATATCTATTCTGGTCCAAGACTTATGTGGGTTAGAATAATATGTAAATTGTTTTCCTTCAAGATTCCGTTCCCTCCATAGATCTTTTAAATTTAACTCTCTCAACATTTCCTTACATGCCGCAGAGAGTTCCCTTTTCCCCTTCTTGTTTTTCCCCATATTACTATGGTCTTTCTGGTAGTCTGCAATGGAGTTAAAATCGCCAATCAAGCAAATGTTTCTTTTTTCAAAGCCTACTATTTTTTGGTGAAGGTGTTTAAAAAATTTCCCCTGGTCATCATTTGGGGCATAGATTGCTACAAGTAAAAATGTGATGTGGTTTATCCAAACTTGTATAACCAGAGTTCTTCCTTCAGGATCCGACCAGATTAATTCTGCCTTTACATCTTGTTTTACATAAATTGCAATTCCTTTTTTCTTGTGTTGGTCGGCCGGTGCTGTAAAAAGTTTACCTAATTTTGGACAAATTAGATGTCTTTCGTCATTCTTCGAAATATGTGTCTCTTGAAGACATATTATATCTGCTTTATGTTGAATAAGTTTTGAGAATATCCTTTTTCTTTTTAATAATGAATTTAATCCGTTTATATTGATGGAGAGCAACTTCTTCCCCTCCACCATTTATCTACTTCTGCTTAGATTTTTGCCTAGTAATGATTCGGTTCTCTTGTTGTTGTTGTTGTGGAGTTTGCTCTTCTCTCCCATGTTGTGGATTATCACTTCCTGAAATTGGAGAAAGTCGTTCCTTTTGGGTTCTGTGATAATATCGGACCTCCTGTGGTCTTGTTTTAGGTTCTTCTTTGGTGGGTTGACTATTCTTATCTGTGAGCTGTTGATGAAAAACTTGGGCCTGTTCTATCGATTCTATTTTGATTTTCCTCTCTTTCCATGTAATTAACATCCCTTCCGGGATTAACCATTTAAAATGGATTCCTTCTTTATTTAAATCATTAGCTAAAAATTTATAATCTTGTCTTATCATCCTCACTCTCTTTGGAATTTGTTTTAAAATCCTAATTTCTCTGCCTTTATATGATATTGTTTCCTCCCTAGACATTTTCAAAATTAAATCCCTCAGACATCTCCTAGAGAAGCGGATATGAATTTCTCTTGGACAGTTGTTACGCCTGGCGTAGCTTGTGCTAACCCTATATACCTCATCAAACTCTTTAATTAGATCATCTTTTTCCTTTCCTAGCCATTCAGCCAATATTTCTGCCATCAAATGTTCCAATTCTTCATTTTTGGCTTCCGCCACATTCTGGAATCTTAAATACGCCATTGCTTTGTCCATCTCGAGGTGGATCAGAGAGTCTTCCGTTTCTCTAAGTACATTTTTAAATTCCTCATCCATCCTTTCAAAGTTAGTCTCCATGCGTGTTGTTCTACTCTCTATATCTTTTATTTTCACTTCGTTTCTCTCCATGGCCTGCTGTAGAGACCTTATCTTACCCTCCACCTTCGCTATATCCGCTTTCATTTCAGCCTTCAGTTTCCCCATCTCATCTTTCAATTCGCTTATATCTGCTCTAGTTTCCTTGTGATTTTTAATCATCATTTCTTGCATTTTAGATATAGCTTCCTGCAAGGCTAATATGGAAGTTTGTATATTAATATTGGGGACATTGGGCTGCTTTTCCCCTATTAAAGACTCCTCGATAGTTTTTTGAGATGTTGGTGGGGTGGCTGTCAACGTAGTCGATAGGGTCGGGATAGCCTTCTTTCCTGTTTTTAAGGCCATAGTTGTTGTGGATGTCATCTCTCTAAGTATTTGTTTTTGTTGATGCACAATTTTAAATATATTATCCCAAATCACCATTCAGTATTTGGGTCCTGTACTTGAAAGACTATTCACGTATTTCAATTTTATATCTCACTCCACAGTCTTTTCCCCTATATCATAAATAGAGATCTGCAACAATATTCTAGTCAATGTAATAAGAAAATTGGTCAACAATAGTACATCAATTAACACTTTAAGGAATTAATCTTAAATGTCGTAAGTAGTCTAAATAATTTATAAATAGATTATATCAACAAAGTTTATCCCTTTTTACTATTAATACTTACAACAGTAAACTCTTAACTCTTTGATAATAGTGTATCCTCCTCTTCCCCCCCCCCAGTAAGTAAAATTATGTGAAGTATTTAGGAGATACAATAGGGAGGCAAGGGGCAAGATAATAAGAGAAGGGGTAGAAGAGAGATTACCACAGCTTCAGAAAATCAACAAACAAACAACCACAAGGAAGTCATCTTAAAGAGAAAATAGTGCCAACTTAGTAAACTTAAGTAGTACCACGTAATAAAGAGAGCAAATTGGGTGAGCTAAAGTTCCATCTTCCAGCTAGAGGTTTCTTTTCAGCCTTCCAATCAGCAAATGGTGAAATGTGCTGACTAATCTGCAGTCCCAAAACCGTCTTTCCCAGTGTTCTGTTCGCCTCTGGCTTCTTCCTCTTGCTGCTGCTTCTTTCTTTGCTTTCCAACTTTTAAATCCACATACAAATCTTCCAAAGTCCAATATAATGCTCAATTTATCTTCTCCCCAATATTAAGTAGATGTAATAGTCATGTTGTGCTCAGACCAGTTCCGGATCTCCAATCTCCAGGTTTTAGCAATCTCCGTCTTTCCCCAAAGCTTCCCCCTCACAGGATAAAGTTTTCCCAATTGCTTTTCTGGCCGCTCTCCGCCCGACTTCCAAGAGGTGCTTATCACAACCAGGAGAGAAGAATTTATGCTATCATTCTTCTGTCATTCTACTCCCTTCAGACTTCAAAGAATCCAAGATATAAACCGTTTCTCTGTTCCTGTTACTCGATCTCGCAGGCTGTCACTGCTTTGCTTATTCACTCAAGTGGCAGACCGGATTGGAAGCCGCCATAAAATGACAGCTTACTCTTTAGCGCCGAGCTCGGGAGCTTCCCTCTTCACTGTCGGGGAGTTGCCTTCCCCCCTCTGCAGCTCGAGGATCTCCACGTTGACACGAACCTCTCCGGGGTTCATGTATCCCTGGGGGATCGCTCCTGACGCCAGAAAAGGTGTTCGAAGCCTGCACCAGACTTCTTCACCTCCGTTCTCCTGTCCTGCCACTCTCGAAGTCCTTGGCACTGATTTTTTACTGCCTTTCTGGGGGCATGTGATCTTTCATTAAATCTGGATGATTTCCTTAGGATATCTCGTGAGGTGAGTGAGACCAGCTGGTATCTTTAAGTGGTGCAAATAGATCTACGGATTGCTTTTCCTGGGTGTGCTTTTTCTGGAGAGCTTAAATGACCTCTCTGCTGAAGGATTTCACTTTATGAGCAAGAGTTGGCTGCTGATAGTTATCATAGCATTTTAACTATTTTAATTCCTCAAGGTGCTCTCGCACCTAGCCTGATTTGTAACTCCAGCTTGCAGGTATTTCTAATCTAATGATTGGTATTTAGGGCAGCTTTTTCAAGCAAAGAACCTTTTATATTTTTGTACAGGTAATCCTCTGACTTATAACAGTTCATTTAGTGGTTCATTCAAAGTTATAAAGCACTAAAAAAAAGTGATTTATGACCATTTTTCACACGACCGTCGCAGCATCCCCACGTTCAGGAGACACGAGGCGAAGTGCCCCTTCATGACCATCCAGCCATGCCTATCCAGCTGGTCATTAGGGCAGAGAACCGCTCATTAAATTATTTGAATCCCACCACTAGTCTGAGTGTCATGAATGCCTGGCTGGTCCTTCAAGCAGCAGGTGGAGGCAGAGGTGCGGGGGGCAGGCATACAATCTGGCCTACCGGATGCACTGGGCAGCCACTTGTCCCATCCCAGCTGCGGCAGCTCTGGGCAAGCAAAAACAGACCTGGCACCCACCTCGTCTTGCTTCCCAGTGGTAGCACCAGCAACAGCCCCCTCCAGCAGGAGCCCCGCCACTTCTCACACACACACCCGCCCAGGCAAGGAGGGCAAGCACAGCAGCAGCAGCCTCAAGGAGACAAGCACAGCCAGGTGAGAAGCAGGGCCAGGTCCCAGGATCTCAGCACCCCAGGAGCTCAAGGGCCGGGTGCCCAAGAACCCGGGCAGCCTGAGAGGGTCAGCAAGAGAGGGCCAGAGTCCACCCTGGTCCCACACCCCTCTGCTGGAGACAATAGATTGCTACCAGCCCCAACCAGGCCATCACAATAAGGTTTTTAAACAGCGATTCCTTTTCTCATCTTGCTGAGCTTATCATATCTTCAGTTACTTGGGAAAGTATGACCCAAGGTTTCCTCTCTTGTAACCGCTCACCCCCACTGCCCTTGCATTTCCATCATTCGTACTTGTAGTAATAAAAGTCTCTTTGGAGGAGGGTATCCAAAGCAAAAGGTTGAATATTTCTAAGAGGATGGCTCTGATACATCACTCTAGAAGTTCTAACTTCACCCACTCCCACCTTACCCCTCTTCTGGATAAAGGAAACCTTTAGCTAGCAGAAGCTGTGAATTGTCAGCCTGGGGGAGGCCGAAAAAGGTTAGTATAACATGTTCTTAACCAGAAGGATGTATATACCAGTGCCCTTTCTTCAGTGAGATGGCTAAGTTGTAAAAATTATGGGCTGCCAATTTATTATGCTCCAGATGCTTACCTTATCTCAATTGGTAGAGATCATAGCAAGATTTCATACAGTTCACTGGCTACAAAGGAACATGCCTCTTTGTAGATAGGACAAGGGCAAGCAGGACTGCATGAATGGCTACATTCCAGTCCTTTCATCTCTTTAACAGATAGGTTTTTGGAGTTGGGATTTTGGGGATTATATGAGCCCCATCCCCCAAAAATCAGTCTAGGCTTATTTTCATGGTAGGTCGTACTTTCGGGTAAACATGGTATTTAGAAAAGTTGGTGCCATCAACAAAAATTTGAATGCAAATGTTTAATAATCAGCATCTTCCAGCTTAAACAGTGCTGTCTATTTTCTTAGAGACAGTTTATATAGCTGAAGGAAGCCATCCAGCCAACGATTTGAGGCTTTGAATTCCTTTGAGGGTATTTCTAACGGTAGTGCCATTGCAAGGGCAAATGCTTGAATATCAGCCCTGTGCACAACTAAACCCTTTGCTCTGCTGTCAGCAATCCATTGGCAGATGATATCTTCCAGTTCAGGAAAAAATGGTTGCCGACCTGATCCACACCTGCACTTCTTAGCATTTCCTTCATCCATCTGTTGACTGAGGTTATTGTACTCTGCTCGCCATTTCCGGACCATTCGGAGATCCAACTTCTTCTCTTTGCATAAAACCGTAAGATTCCTGCCCAGAGAATCCTCCACTATTCCTTTCTTGAACTCGACGGAATAGCTCTTTCTTTTTGCACTCATCTTCCCTAGGGGTCAAATTATTATTCCAATTAAATCTACCATTAAATTAGATGTGTCAAACTCTATTTCACTAAGGGCCACATCAGCATTGTGGTTTCGCTGGGGAATGGGTGGGTGGATGTGACCAGCTTGAAGTCACTCGCATTCCGGTCGTATGCACAAGAGCTGGAGGACAGGATTGAACTGAGGGGACCAAGCCCGTAAGGGTCTGGAAGTGGCAGCACCCTTACCTGCCACCTGCCTCAGCTTGCATCAAGCGCGGGCAGAGGCACAGAGGTGAGGCATGTGATCCGGCCTGCTGAAGACTTCACATGGCTACCTCTCCCCCGCAATTCTGCCTCTATCTGCTGGTTGGAGGGCCAGCCCAGCAGTTGGACTCATTTGTGCTGCATGGGCTGAGCAGCCCCAGAGTGCACTGGCCAATAGGGCGGCAGGCTGCACCCAGACACCTCTGCCCCACACACTTGCTGCCTCCTGTGCACACAAGGGACACCCTACAGGGCTTGGCCATGAAAAGTGAGGACCAGTCCCTCACCAACTCCGGTGAAGGACCATAGGCCAGACATGGGTCCATCACGGGCCAGATCACGTGCCTCTGCCTGCTGTTTCGAAGGCCAACCTGGTGGTTTCAGCACTAGTATTCACCTGCGCTGCATAGGCTGTGTAGCCTCACAGGGCGCCAGCCAAGGGATTGGTGGGCTGTGGCGGCTGCTGGACACCGTTGGCCCCCATACACTCATTCCATCCTTTGTGTGCCCCAGGGGCACCTGGCCATGTTGGCAGGGGTCGGTGCCTCACTATCTCCGGGGTGGCTCTGCTAACCAGAACTGGGCCCATCGGAGGCTGGTTTTCGTCCACGGGCCTTGTGTTTGACATGTCTGGTCTGGCTGATGATCTTACCTGTGGCAGTCTCTCTCAGCTCAGCCCATGTCAGAGGGTTTTGTTGTAGGGAAAATAGGAAGGAGGAGTATTTCGTATGTCTGCTGCTTTGAGTTATTTACAAAAAATAATAAAGGCAGGTTATGAATAAAAAGTAATATAATATCTAAACCCCTTCCCCTGTGTCTTCTCTACAATAGAGATTCTTACCTAGAAAAGCCAAATTCCTGGAAGTCTCTAGCATGACTTCTCCATACAGCGCTTTTTGGTCAGCATCCAGCTGCAACCACTCCTCCTCGGAGAAATACACAGCCACTTCCTTAAAGGACAAAACATCCTGAATAGGGAGACAAGTTTTCCTATTACCAGACAACCCCAGGAATAATTTGGCAGTTTTCTTTCACCAATTCAAAGAGAGAGATCCATTGAACAAAATGGGCATTTTCTTCAGAATTCAAAATGAGATCTCCAAGTTTCTGGCTGACAGCACGACTCAAACATATTTGATCAAGTTAGGATTTGGAATGTGAAGCCAACTAAAATAGTTTTCTTGGTCAATTAATAGTTGGGTCTTAAACCCACTACTTATCAATGGCTCAAATTCTTTCTGGGGTGGGGAGAAGGACATATAGGAAACCCATCTGATATCCTTGCCAATGGTTTAGTGTAGTCACTGAGGGGTCAACGCTTACCCCCACTCCACACCTTAATGCAAATGTTGGGAGAGCCTGTAATGGTATGTGAGAATGACCCTTGGAGACTGAAAGAACATCTCTGGTAAAGACAACATCCGGTCAACTAAATCTGACCCTGAAGCAGGAGGGTGAAGGAAGTTTACCAGAAGGAACAGGTAGCTTAATTTCAGTGTGAATTTATAATGACCTGCTCTAATATTTGCCTTGCTTAGAAATAGCAATATTATACTTTACACTCCAGAACAAAATAAAACCCATCCAAGTTTCATGGGCCTTTCCAATATTTCTTCTCCTACCTGTGGCAGAGTTGCAGCCACTCTTTCAGCTCCAACACAAAGAGATGATTCTAAAAATATTGAGGACAGCTTTCTATTATCTGTGAGACCAAAAAAATATGGTGAAAGCAGATTGTTATCAATAAACAACCAGAAGCAGATTCCACTCAAGATAAGCAAAAGAATTGGCGGGACATCCAAACCTCACATCACATGGAAAAAGCCTCTCTTACCTGGCATCACATCTTGACTTTGATCTTTCTGGAAGCTCTCCCTTAACTGCAGGTCTCGGGAAGGTTTGAATGAATCTATCCTCTCCTTGGGATACTCAGTCACAGCTTCCAAAGATTTCTAGAAATGATGTGGCACAATAAAGAAGGGAAGAGTACAGAGATGGAAATGAATTATCATACTGCACTTTCAGACTAGCAGAACCCATCACTGAATTTGGAAAGTAAGAATATAAGTATTGCCCCAAATATATCCTTCAGAAGAATGGTCTTAGGAGGTCATAATCCCAGAAAATTCTACCAGAGAGACATTGACAAATGCATTTAGAACTGCCATGATTACATTATCACACCTGCAACTCTTGCATCTTCTCAGACTCCTGGGTCAGCAAGAAGCCTTCAGCCAGGGCCACCGCCTGGGAACTGGTCTCCGCTCCACACTCCCGCACCCATTTCTCCATCTCTGGGGGAAGGACAGCTAGGAACTGCTCCAGGAGCACCAGGTCCAGCATCTGAGCCTTGGTGTGTCTTTCTGGCTGCAGCCATTGATGGCAAAGGCAGTGAAGCTGACTGCAAACATCTCGGGGACTCCTCCCCTCTTGGAACTGCACTTTTCTGAAGTCACAGTATTGCACCTCTGAATTACTGGCTTCTTCTTCTTCTTGACTCTTTTGCCCAGGACTTGTTCCATTCTTCCCACAGCTCCAAGGCTGAGCAGCTGGATGGCCTTTTCCAGCTCCTACATCTGCTGGGCGTTGTCCATCAGTCTTCTCTCTGGTCTCTAATCCAGCACCAAAACGGAACCATGCATCTCCCCAGGTCTGACTAAACACAAGAGATCTGGCTAAGTCTCCTAAGGCCATTCAGCCCACTTCCCTCACAAGATACTTCGGTCTCCAGAGGAACCAGGAAAGATTTCCAGCTTCAGATTTGAAATGGAAAACATAGTGTTTAAACAAACATTCTTAAGCAAACAAATCAATAAACTAAGAAATTCTTATGAACCCATCGTCTACGAAAGTGGGGAAATCTTAATAGATAGCCTGACTTATCTGCGTTTGGGGAAAATTTGGTAGCACTCTTCTGGCTCAACTTCTACCAAGGAATCAATATACAGGATAATACATTTACAATAGGTTTTGGATTTCTATTTCCTATTTCTTCAAATCATTCCTACTGCTGCCTATAAAGAACTACCCTTTGCACAATCCAAATTATAGACGTCTCCTGTCACAAAAATTCTCATCAGCCTATCTACATCGATTTAATAAGGAGATCAAACAGCACTTCAATTTCTAGTAAAAAAAAACAAAAACGAGACAACAGAATCCCATTAACCTCCTGGCCCAAACTTCTGGATCAAATCCAGAAACCAGACTTAACAAACACCATCCACCACTGCCGTTTTTGCAACAGGTTCCTTATTTGTCTGCCGGCAGAGCCACCAAGAGAGATAGTGGGGAAAGGCAGGAAAGGAGGAAACCGAATTCCAGTCCCCTCACGCCTTGCACGCAACTCTTTACACACGGAATTGTTCGCTTCTCTCGGCCTAAGAAGAGGGAGGCGAGGGAAAGCCCTTCTGGAAACAGGACCAGGAAATTTGGAGGAAATTGTCCAGGCTGATTTGGAAGCACAAGTCTGTGTTTTGCAAAACCAACCACTCCCTCTTCTTCCCTGCAGACGTTTTCCCATGGAAAGAGAGGGGAAATGGCTCTCTCCTTTCTGGCAATCCTCGCCTCCCACCCCTCACCTTGGGGGGCAATGCGGTGGGTCCTTAGCTTTGCTAAGGCTCGTGCATGCACAGGATCCAGAGGAAAACTTGGGACCCCGGGCTACCCTCTTCTCACAACTCCGAACCTAATGAACTTTTCCTTCTCTTCTTGCACGCTTCCACCGACAAAGAAAAGCCCGCCACTTGTTGAACTCTGCGTCACGCTTCCGGTAAAAGTTTCCCTGCAGCCTTCTGGAAAGGCTCAGCCTAAGCGAGGGGAAACGGAGTCGGACGCGGTAAGGAAAGTCTTGCCCCGGGCAGCACGTGTCTCTCTGGACAGAGCGCATGCTCAGTTCCCATTGTCATTGGACGGAGGAGGTGGGCGGGTCGCTCAGCTTTCCCAACGGCTGCCAAGATTGCTCCTGCGAGCAATCCTGAGGAACTTTGGAGGGCTGAGGATATATTCATGCGGGCCTGGGATCATAGGCATTGGAGTAGAATGAAAGTGTCCCTCTTACATTACCTCTCTAAAAAGGAGGTGGCTGTTTCTGGATTTTCCTCTCTTAAATGCCTAAGAATCATCTTGTAAATATTGAGAAAAATCTCTGTGGAGACTGTGGAGAAAAGTCGCTTTCCTCAAGGACAGCTACTCTGAAGGGTCTGAAGAAATTTAAAGAGGCTTCAAAAAAGAGTAGAAATCCTGTCAGATCTTCTGTTTGAAACACAACTTGTGCCTTGTGGTTGTTGACAAACTCAGCCCTGAAGTGATGTGATATATGGGGGAATGGCAGAAATGCAGGGAGGAAATGGACAGGTTAGGAAAAGTAAGGCTTGTATTTATTTTTCTTTAATAACGTCTTTTATTACAGCTGCTTTTGTCAAATCCATATCTCTGGTGGCTAAGAAGGGTTGGAAACAAACATCAAGAGGTAACTGGCAATAATAAAAAAATAATCCTGAGGAAATTATCCCGATGGAAAGGAGCTATCAAAAGAAAACAAGTTCCAAAATGGAGAGAAAGCTCAAATCTGTGGGCCTTTTGGAAATTTTACCTCAAAAAAAGGCATGATGGAGAAATGAACAGTGGGAGAATAAGATGCCACATGTGACTGGAGAAAAAATAGAATTACAAAATAAAAGAAGGCAAATATTGAAAACTAAATATAAAGCTCTCATAACTTGAAGAAAAAAGCAAGTTTTATTTAGGTGCTGAGGAGGAAAATGCTGCAGGAAATATGAATACTAAGCTTAAGACCTTTAGTTAAAAAGAAAGTACTTTTTATAGCCAAAAGAACTGAAGACTTTGCTGGTTTGAGATTAGTCTGCCTTTGGAGGTGGCACTGTAAGGAAGAGATTTAGCCACAATCAGCAAAATAAAAAATGTGAACAGAGGGAAAATAGTGTTTAAGAAACAATTTAAAAAGAACAGAGTTAACTCCCCACTCTTGAAGAAAGCCCATTCTTTTCATTCCATTTCTTCATGTTATCTTCTGTGGGATCCTTGGTGCTCTCAGAGGTTTGGTTCTTTTCTTGAAGACATTTCATTGCCCAAACCAGACAACAACATCACTGCTAGTAGAGTGGCATTTGTCCTCCATTTATATTCTAGTGTCTTGTTTGGTTGGAGTTGGTGCAAGGGGTCAGTGCATCTGGCTCTAACATATAAGCAATTGCAGTTAAGTATCAAACTTAATCTTTAAAAAAAATCAAAAATCTTTACAAGCTGGAGGACACTAAGACAGTAATAATACTGAGGTCTAGCATGAGGCCTCAATAAAGACAGCAGTGGATTGCTTAATAAAAGCATTGTGATGAGATACAGCTCTTTCAGGATAGTTTTCAATATAGGCTTGTGCTGATTGGATTAACCATAAGAGAGACACCATCCCTGTGCTTGTCTGTGGCCAATCCAATTTTCCAAAAAAGGTATTGAATCTTCCCCCTTTTGCATTCTGAAGGGTAAAACTAATTCAGATATTTAAATCCTAGTGAAAAAAGCATTGACAGTGTGAGAATCAAAGCCTCAGATGAAGAGCCCAATACCATCACCTTCACAACCTGGGATCATCTCTTCAAGCAGGCTATCCCTGGGTGGGCTTGAACCACCATCCTGCTGATTAACAGCCAGATGTGCTAACCCCTTACACCATAAAGACTTAGCACAGGGTTTGGCATCAGCCTTCCTCAATGTGAAGATTCATACCCTCAGAGTTCGTTTGGTTAACGTAGTGTGGCTCCTTTTCCCCCACTATAAACAAAATCTTGGATGAAAACTTGGTCTGGTGATGTGTCTGCACATTCCAGAAGAGTAAAAGTTGAAAGAAAGCATGCGCTAGCTGGTATTTAAACCCTGGTCACAGGATTGGGGACCCTGCATGGTATCCCTATACCTCTAACAAAGCTGTTGAAATTCTGTCTCAAAAGATGTAAGTTTATGTCTAGGTTTCTCTTTTCCTGTATGATAATACGAGAAAAACTCTTCTGAAACCCAAGCTTCAAAAAAAAATTTTTTTAAAAAAAACTTGACATTTACCCCTACAAATGAGAAGCAAGAGGGAAGAAAGCCACTTTGTACTTCCCTGGTGGTCTAGTGGTCAGGATTTGGTGCTCTCACCACCATGGCCCATGTTCCATCACAAGCCAGGGAAAACATTCACTTCCAAACCATCAATCATTCTGCAGGTCAAATTCCTGGGAAGGCTCATGATAATGGCAAAATAGCTGAATTGACCAGAGAATAATCTTCCCTTCTCTCTCCTCCCTTCCTCTTCGCTCTCTCACACCACCTTTTTGTTGTAACAGAATAACAGTTGACAGGGATCTTTTAATCCAACCCCACCTCCCTTCTCAAGGCCCACAGTGTGGATCTGACTCGCAAAGGGCCCAGATATGGCCCATGGGGCCACCCCAGAGACTGAGCAACTTCAGGTGAACACACATGAGATATAGGTTTTGTTTTTGTCTTCTTTTTCTTTTTGGGATTTTGTAATTAGTCCAGTTCAGGAAATAATGGTTGCCGACCTGATCCACACCTGCGCTTCTTAGCATTTCCTTCGTCTACCTGTTGACTGAGATTATCGTACTCTGCTCGCCATTTTCAGACCATTCAGAGATCCAACCTCTAAGTTTTAACAAATAATCAGAGTTGGAAGGGACCTTGTCGGTCATCTAGTCCAACCCCCCACCCAAGTGGGAGATCCTACACCATTTCTGTCAAATGGCAGTCCAATCTCTTCTTGAAAGTCTCAAGTGATGGTGCCCCCACAACTTCCAAGAGCAAGCTGTTCCTTTGGTTGATTGTTCTCACTGTCAGAAAGTTTCTCCTTATTTCCAGGTTAAATCTCTCCTTGTTCAGTTTCCATCCATTATTCCTTGTCTGGCCTACGGGCACTTTAGAAAATAGCTTTACCCCTTCTCTGTGGCAGCACCTCAGATATTGGAAGACTGCTATCATGTCTCCCCTGGTCCTTCTCTTTACTAAACTAGCCAAGCCCAGTTTCTGTAACTGTTCTTCATATGTTTTAGTCTCCAGTCCCCTAATCATCCTGGTTGCTCTTCTCTTTGCAGAAAGCTGTAAGATTTTTGCCTTCCCTGAGAGTCCTCCATGATTCCGTTTTTGAACTCGACAGAATAGCTCTTTCTTTTTGCACTCATCTTGTCTAGGGGTCAAAATATTATTCCATTTAATCTACCATTAAATCAGGGGTGTCAAACTCAATTTCATTGAGGACCACATCAGCAGTGTAGCCAACTCAAAATCACTCTCGTCGAGGTCGCCTGTGGAGTTCCAGGTGGAGAGGGGAATCCCAGCTTCCTCTTGGAACAGAGGCTCCCTGCATTTCCCATTTACCGGGGCAGTCATGGATGGTGCGGCCGGCTGGAGGCTCATCCTGCATGTGTGCAAGAGCTGGAGGACAAGTTTGAACTGTAGGAGTCAAGTCC